AATTGTTTCCATGTATAGGGTTTATCTAATGTCATCTTTCCTTAAATGTGCCGTGGGCTCCAAAAATTCCGACCGTTCTCTAGGTCTTTGCATTTATTTTATTTTTTGTTTGCTGAGAGAGCTTTGAATGGTTAAATTTTTCAGCAAATTAAATTGTAGATATGACACTCCCCAGAGATTTTACCCTCATTTGCGAGGATATTTTAATATGAGGTTCGAGTTTTCCCATAGGTGCAAGCCCCTATAGTTGATTACCCCTCCCAATAATGGGATACCACTTTCGATTAAGGCTAGCCATTAACAATCGAATATTCAATATATAATAACAACATACTTAAGATTTAAGTTTCAAAATTTATCACTTGAAGTGGATGGTGGGGAGTTCCGGGTCATCGTGGTCCCTGATCCACTTTGTCTGAGGAGGTAGTTGACCTAACCTGGCCGAGAGATTATTTCCAGCAATCACATGTTACATCGTCCAAGAGAGGATGTTCGTTTAAGGAGACAATATCAAGCGAACCTTAACTAACAAAATACTTTATGACAATCAATTGTACCTTTATGGTTCATAACTTAAATGATAAAAAGCCATTGAGAACATACGGGTTGCGGCTATGACTGTAATATAATATTGTCATTTGACGACAACCATCTAGTTTGAGGGCTCTGGTCATAACCACTATTTTGTGGTGTCATTTAGCAGCATAATCATGCAGATCGAAGACTCGGGCCACGTTCTTGCTGTCATGCAATTGCTTTGATTTTGAATATAGGCATACACTTGATATGAAAATCGCTCTTGAATTCAATCAAAAGTTTCACCCTTGATAAACTATTGTGTAGGGTGGCTGTGAGTTTGTTTTAAGTTTTTAAGTGATTAATTTTGCTTGAATACTGATTTGAAACTTAATCTTAATATTGATTAGAAATTAGCCCTTATGGTTGAGATTTTTAGTCAACACGTTCATCATTAGGGATTTAAACATTTAAAAATTTTATATTTGAAGGCCATTTGATTTTTCTTAGTTTAGGATTTTAGGATATAAGTCATGTTGGTTCCTGCCCTTATAAGGAGGATGATCGAATTAGGTGATTTAGAATTGTAAATTTTTATCTTTATGATTCAGACATTTATTAGGACTTACTAGACTCGTCAACTCTAGTAGTTTGTTATAAGTTTTTAAGTGATTAATTTTGCTTGAATACTGATTTGAAACTTAATCTTAATATTGATTAGAAATTAGCCCTTATGGTTGAGATTTTTAGTCAACACGTTCATCATTGGGGATTTAAACATTTTAAAATTTTATATTTGAAGGCCATTTGATTTTTTTTAGTTTAGGATTTTAGGATATAAGTTATGTTGGTTCCCGCCCTTATAAGGAGGATGATCGAATTAGGTGATTTAGAATTGTAAATTTTTATCTTTATGATTCGGACATTTATTAAGACTTACTAGACTCGTCAGCTCTAGTCCCTAAATGGAGGAAAATCAGATTAGTTAGATGATACTTACAACCTTGTTCTATAGACATGACGTCTCGATTGAAATCTTGCATGATTTGTCTTGAATTTGATTTCAAATATGAAGAGTTTCAGCTTTAGAATAATTATAGAATTTCTCAAAGACTTTTGCATGCTTTTTAAAGCAAAAACTATTTTGTGCAAGTTTAATTTTGACCTGTGCAATTCTCAAACCATTAAGTTTAAACACTTAATTGATTTGGTGGAGCACGTGCGGGTCTAATTCATGCATTTGAATATTTTGAATAGTTTTATATGCTCTAAAGACTGATACAAATTTTAGCTATGAATTTATCATATCATTTACATCAAGAGGCACATGCAAGATTTTGAAAATATTTATAATTGGCTTGCTTATGTAGACACCCTAAAGCATGCATAACTCAAAAGTATCTTAAGTGTTACTCATCTAAATCTTAAGGGTAAGGTTCACATTTCAAGTTATTGCATTGACTTGAGATAAGCACGAAATTTATATAAATTTTGAAATGATTCAAAGCATAAACTATTTGTTAAAGTATTATGATTTTGGGCGTTAGAAAGATACCTTCTTCTATCTACTTAGAAATTAGAATTGCAGATAAGGTGATGAGATTTTAAACTTTCAAAATTCCCAGACTCGAGTTATTTTTGAACCCCATAAGCCTAAATTTGAAAGTTATAAATTCCAATTATTTTTAAGCTCAAAATCCAAAAAAATTAAAATTTAGATTTTTTTAAAATCTAAAGAGTACATTTTAAAAGCTCAAATCCTATATATTTTTGAATCCTATGAGCCTAAAAGTTGTAGAAGTTCAAAATTTTCAAATTAGTTTAAAATTTCAATGATTTATATATATATTTTTTATCATTATTTCGTAAGTTCAAGAACTCAGGATGTTAAGTTGTTTATAAGTCAAAATCACATAAGATTTCGGCAGTTTGCTGGTGTCAACCACCGCTAGGGAGCACCAGGAGAATGCCAGTCTTCGCAACTGTTTAAAAGACTCGCTGGTTATTGTCTTGAAAAGTTGTGATCGAAGAGCAAAAATATGTATTTAACTCGCGATTTTGAAAGATGCAACGAGCCTTCTAAATCACAATCCCTCTTTCTTAAGCAGTATTTTACTTTCCACGAATGACACTCAATTTCTAAGGACGGATACTCACATTTCTCAGGATGGTTATTTGAAACCCTAATTTTATAAAAAATAATTTTCAAACGAGTCAGTGATTTTTCTTGAATAGTACTTAATCCCAAGGATGGATAGTCACACTATTGCCCAAATGTTATACATTTTTGAGCCTCAACGGTGTTGCTGCCAACGACAATAAAATAAGAGTTGAACAAATTTTTTTACAACAATTTATAATAATAAAATAAAATAAAAACTAAAGCAAAATGAACAGTAAAGTGGGTTGGGTAGTTGCTCGGGTAGAGTGCTTTGGTTTGTAGGAGGGACGACTCGAGCCAGGATTGTAGAGTGGGCTAGGTCTCGCAAGCAGATGCAACACGAGTTTCTCCTTCATGTGACTGGGAAGAAGAGAAGGCTTTGGGATCGCGAGGGAGGAGGATGGTGTAGGGGCGGCGTTTGAGTGGGAGCGAGGGTTGTCGGTGTGGAGAGAGCGACAGGGAGACGAGGGAGTACGACAGCTTTGGTGGAAGGCTAGGGCAGAGAGGCTCGACGACGTATGCTAAAGAAGGAAAAGGGAGGGTCACGTGCATGGGCTTCAGTTAGGAAGACAAAAGCGGGTGGAGGGTTTTGGCATAGGGGGCTTTGGCTCTGTCGTACAGGTTGAGCAATGGACGATGGTGATCGACAATCGTATCAATTTGTAGGCAGTGGAGGATCGAGCGGCTCCATGCGATCTCGAAAAGGGGGAAGACGAGAGTGCGGCTTGGATGCGGGGAAGGCGATTGGGAGTCAAAGGAGGTGAGGTTTGTGCTGTTTGCTTTGTTCCCAAGGAATAAGTGGTGAGGGCTTGTGCGGTTTTCAAACTGGCGAAGAAACAAAGGGGAAGCGGGACATTTTATGCTAACCGAAACAAAAGTCCCAGCAGCCAGAGAGCACCAACGAGGGTTTTTGTGTCTGTTTGTAAGTCAAAGAAAGTGGGAGCAACTATTGGGCCCAAAGTGGGTGAGTTGGCGGGAAAGGGTAAGTTTTCCCGTTAAATGATTTAATTTTAAATATATTCTTTTTTTATTTTAAATTTTACGGTCAACACGTATACTTTTCAAAGCTCTTGTTGTGCTACTTGTTTTCGACATTAGTTTTATTAACTTCCAAGTGATCAGATTTTTTGTATTATTTTTAATATTATTTTTTATTTAGTATTATTAGATGGGAGTTCAAGTAACATTACATTCTAGAGCTTTATTGCTTTTAAACGCCCGTCATACCATAGGTTTTTTGTATTTGCATTAGAAAATTTACATACATTGAGTGATGCTGATACTCCAAGGCATTACTTCGCAGATGCTTCCACGCTATTTATGCCATCTTATTTTAACAATGAAAGCGAACTTCGTTGCCAGGACAGGGTTTGAAACATGCTATTAAAACCTAGATAAGACTCAAATAAACCTTACTTTCTTTTTCATTTTTTAGCTTGCTCCCTCATCTTCAGTTTCTTTTTTTTTTCTTTAATCTTGAATCAAATCATTATGCATACAAGATCAACTCAAATCTTACCATATTTAAAAGTAAGTCCTAATTAATGCAATAAATCTAAACATTTTTCAAAAGGACAATTCATTATAAAAAAAAAAAAAAAATTTAAAAATCGTATGTTAAAATAAAAACTTTGTAAATCCTAAGCTTTTTTCTTAGCATGGTACAAAACAGCTTTTTGATATCGCCTAATCTTACAAGACACTGAATAAATGGAAATATATTGGGTTTATGCGTTTCTTCTAACACAAATTTTCATGCAGACCATTTTTCTTTTGTTTTTCCAATGATTGATTATTAGCACAACTCTAGGGTTATAATTTCTACCTTCTTTTGTGGTTCCTAATCTCTAACAGATTGCTGATGATACGCCTAATGAGTATATAATGAAGGCCATCATTAAAATTTGCAAACCGCCAATATTTTTTTAACGATTGCATGTTCCTCTTTAACCTATTCTGTCTGTAGATGTTATCACTGTTGGATGTATATACTAGGTCTTTTGGTGCTTGAATATAATATATATATATATATATGTATTCATTCTGTAGTTGGTGCAACTCTTTTTTTTTTGAATTTCTTACTTTACTCTTTTTTCTTAAAAGTCGTCGTTCTTGCAGCCTTGGGTATTTGCACAATACATTTTGCAATTTGTTTTTTTTTTTTTGGATGCAGCGAATGAAATTTGCTAGGCTTTCAAGTGTATCAGTTTCACTGTGATTTTTATTTTGTATTTTTTATGCTGAAAGGGCACATTGGTGTTACTTACCTTTTGAGTCGAGCTTTTAGAAGACATCCAGTCATTGTGCTTCTTTTATTTCCAAGGAAAATCGAATGTGTATATCCATGGAACTGGTTACTGCAGTATTGGGGGACCACGGTCAACGACCTATTGATGACTATGGTATGCTGATTTTCTAAGCTTTTGAGATAATTTGGTATTCATTTGTGCCTTGAGAAATCACTAATTGGTAGTTTTTTGTACATATTGTTATCTGAGTTATATATACGACTAATTCATTTGACCCATCTGACACTAGTGCATGTTTTATTTGATTAACAACTTATTTCATCTTTAAAAGTATTCATATAGAATACACATTTGAAATATTGTCTATTTATTTTCAAATAATGTCTTCATATTTTTTAAAAGTTGTATATAATTATATTTTTTGCAACCATTAAAACAATAGATGTCATTATTTCAGATAGGATATCTTGACTCTCATGCACTCTTAATTGTCTAAGATAAAAAAAATGCCCCTTTACATCCTCCAATGTGCAATTCTTATTACGTTTTTGCGTTTACCAATTTAAGCAAAAGGGAGCACTTTCAAATTGTAGTGATTGCATCTAAGCAAAACTTTAATGCATGTGGTAATTGTGGATGTTTGCTGTGTTGAATTTTAAGTCTTAATTTGTAGTGGATGATCTTTTCACAATAAAAAATGTACACCAATCCACCATTGTTATGCGTTATGTTTAGGTATTTTTGTAGATATCTATAAAGCACGGACACAAACACGGGGACACGATATAATATGATACAACGACACGACTTAATTGGAAAAAATATGACACATTACAACATAGACACATTTTTTTATATTTAATAAATCAATAAAATATAAATGTATATTTTTAATATTTTCTTCTAAAGAAATCACAAAACAACAAATACAATCATCAAAAAAACTTTATAATCATAAAAGTTATTTTTGAAAATATCAAAATTACATTCAAAATATCAAAAATTATCAATACACTTAATACCATTGTCATTCGTAATAAAATGAAGCAAAATATTACATATTGCAAAATATAACAACATAATTATCACTAATTGGAGTTGATGCATTCAATATTGGTGTCATCATTTGTGCAATTGTGCTAGCTTTATTGCCCTCATCAATGACACCTTTAGGGCTGTCAAAAAAGCTCGTTCGCGAACAGCTTGTGTTCGGCTCGTTTTAGCTCGAAATAAAAAAAAAAATTATATAACTATTTATATAACAATATATTACATATATTATTTATATAATAATATATTATATATATTTATATCTAAGTTTAAATCATAACACCTCATGTGACAATGTGGTTAGTGCCTTCTTTTGTATATATTTGGTCCAGGTTCGAATTCCACACTTTACATCTATTTTTCTTAATTTAATTTTAATGAGCCAATTTCAAGCTAAACACGAGCCGAACACGAACACAAATATTTAAATCGAGCCGAACACGAACACACTGATCACGAGCCGATTTCGAACACGAGCCGATTTCGAACACGAGCCAAGCTCGAACACGAGCTATTTCGAACGAGCCGAACACGAGCCAAGCCTGAGCTCGCTCAAGCTCGGCTCATTTACAGCCTCAGACACCTTCTCCTTCATCAACAAAAAACATTTTTTCGAAGCACGACTCATCAAGAGAAATATTAACAACTTCAAGGATTCCAATATCCTTCATTGTAGCCAAGGCATCTTTACCAACATCCCATAATTTTGTGTGCCCCTGAAAATATTCTGGGCTTCTCCTAAACATAATATGGTGATTAGTATGAACAAATACTAAAATCTTCACCTCGCTACGAGTAATTTTATTCCTCTTAAGTGAATTGATGAAAGAATATGTACTCCAGTTTCTTTCACAACAAGAAGTTTAACACAGTTCAACCAACAATTTGAAAGCTAAACTTTGCATTTGTGGGGAACTTGCTCCATAAATCATCCAATATGCCTTCCCATCCATAATAGCTCTAGAAGCTATGGGGTCATGATTAGAGAAGCACCACTAAATCCAAAGAAATTAGCAAAATCCAAATTAATAATAGACAATTCTTCATTGTTTGAGAATATCCTATTTAAGCATTTTTTTCTCTTAATTGAGATCTCCATGTCCTTATGTGGGGTAACACGATTTGAAGCTTCACTTAGCCAAGCATGACTATAATGTCTAATAAAAAATACATTTAGAAGTGACAAAATTAATATATGTTAGGATTAATAAAGATTAACATCAAATCAAATAATACATGGGCTTGAGAGAGTGAGCTAAACAACTAAGAGGAGTGTTACTTTTATTCCATTTTTCTACTTAAATCTCATATACAACTTTATAAAAATTGAAGTCTTCGTTGTCTCTCTTTCCCTCATGTCGATATATAATGACCTTTCACCTATTCTATTATCGAATCCCACATATCGTAGATAAGGTGAAAACAAGATTTATCTGTATTAGCCAATCTTAACATGTCGTATATAGGTTCTGTAAAATCAATAACATTATTAATTCATAATCCAAGATTTTTTTTCTTCACAAATTTTACCCTGTTTATAACATCTTCACGTTATATATTTTACTTGTCACTGATCACCATTACTTGTAGCCCATGTTTTATTGCTTTAAATCTCCTAAGATGACTATACTTGTTGCAAAACGGGTCTCTGCAATGACTAACATTTTTAGCTTCAAAAATTTATTGAATATTGATAGTCTCATTGCATGATTTATAATAAAAGCATTTTAAAATTGACATATCCTTCAATGTCAATTATCCAGCTGCAATGCTCATAAGTTCTCATTTCCTTTGATATTTTTTTGAGCATATAGATTTTTCAATGCTAATTTCAATGTTTGAAAAACACAAGGAGTCCAAAAAATATGAGGATATTGAGCTTCAATCAATGCTCCTGCAACTCTGCACGCATGTGCATTATCAGTGATTATTTGAACTATTTTATTTAAACCTACGACCGCAATTACTTCTTTAATGTCATTGGCAATTTTGAACTTATCTTTATATGCTTTTTCACAATTAATAGCTTTTATAAACATTGGTTCAAATTCCGTGACGCCTATAAAATTAATGAGAGGACTTCTTTGTGCATCTGTCCAACCATCAAAAACTATGGTAACTCCTATCTCATTTCAAGTCTTCTTTATAGGTTCATGCGGTCTCTCAACATTTGCTCTTTTTTTGAATTAAGGTTGTTTTTAACAAATCATAATCGGGAGGAATATATCTAGGGATTGCATATGAGAGCGAATTAAAATTATATGGATTTCTTATCAAATGAAATGGAAGAGTTGCAAAATAAAACATTCAAGCAATTTCATCATGCAAATGATCTCTAACTTGCAAATTAAATGCTCTTTCTATAACACTATTGCTCGACATTTTTCTTTTCTTGTGATTATAATGGTAACCTATGCTTTAAATAAATGCCCACTTGCCTGAGAGCTACACAACTGATTAGAACCACTTTCCTTGGGGCCGAAAGACCGAATTGAAACCTTCTTAAATGCAACATTCTTTTTCTTCTGTTTTGCATCAGCATCTAACTTCTGTATTTCTTGAATTTGTGTTGAAGTCACCTTAGAACATGCTTGACTACAAACTCTAGATTGTCGAATCAAGTGTTTTCTAACTCTAGAATATGTTCCTTTGAAATTTCTTTTGACAAAAAAAAAATACTGAAATCTACGTTGCCTCCTGCTCCAATTGATCTCAGTTTCTCAAATTTGGGAAATATGTTCATAAAGGCTTTGTCTTGTCCTCAATGGAATTGTTAGAGGCATTTGCATTAGCCATTATTCTATTAATCAATTGCACAAAATATAAGCATTTAAAATTCACACACACATATATATAATAATTAGTAAAAATATATTGGTATATTTACATATATAATTCAATCAGAAATTTTGATCTAAAAAATAATAAAATTCGAACTTTCATGGTGATTTCATGTGGGAAAAAATATGCAAGTGGCATATTTATTTAGTTATTGCAGTACATATATATTAATCTAATTTTATGGGCGTAAATAGGCTCAAACTAAATCTTAATACAAACAGTTTGATTTACTCAATTATTATAAAATTGGGAAATTTACATATATACCACCCAATTATTATGCATTAACATCCATAACACCTAAACTTCAATTATTACATACAGACCACCTTCTCTATGCATAAAAATTTGCATGTCACTGTTTAAATGTCAAAATGGTGGTGCTTTTGATGTGAAGTGATGGATTTGAGTGGTATGTATGTAAATGCCCTAAAATTGAAAAATAAAACCGTTAATTTGTTTAATAAAAAAACTGCACTTTCTTATATCCTGTGCCTCCCATCGAAAAAAAAACACATCGAAAAGAAAATTGCAAGTTACCGCACGCGTGGATCGTCTCTGGCTCCCGTCGCCTCTTTAGATTGTACCTAGTCGAGTGTAGAAGCTCTGGATAGCGAGGGAGTTCACGCGGAAGCTTTGTATCGTGCTTTGGATGATTCCCTAGTTGCATTCGAAGGTCAAAATCATATCAAAATTTGTGTCGCTTTGATCATGGCGACTCGATCAGCTCGATGCTCGACGACGATGATGCTTGCTTTGGCAGGCTGATGCGAGGCAGTAGAAGCTGCTGCGAGGCTTTGATAATATCACAGCACCTTCAAACGTCCTAACTTTATTATTATTTTTTTTTGACGCTTTGGATTCAGCTTCGCCACTCGATTTTAATTCTTGTGTCTGCATCTGGTGTTGAGCGGTGTTCGAGCCATGTCGAGAGAGGTGCCCTAGAAGGCAGAAATGTCAACACATTTATTTAGTGTCAGAGGCGGTATCGGCCCGTGTCCGACACGTGTCAGACACGGTACGACTTCTATTTGGGAATGTCGGTGCTTTATAGGTACATATGCTACTAATGTGGCAAATCATTTGTTCGAAATCTTATATAATTATTTTCAAACCGTCTTGCTTTTCATATCCTTTGATTGGTTTTCAAAGTAAGAACATTACATGATGGGTAAAATTGGTTGAGATGCAATAATATCATCTTTATTAGCTTTGTCGTAACTATTTGGTGTCCTTGTTATGAATCCTCATTTCTTATTTGA